AAAGAGGGCTGAGCGATAGATGTTGTTTACTCTGGCTTTAGTAAAGCCTTTGACAAGGTTCCACATGGTGGACTAATTAGTTAGATCATATGGGATTCAGGATGAACTTGCCAATTGCGTACTAAATTGGCTTTATAGTAAGAGACAGAGGGTGGCACTGGAGGGTTGCTTTTCAGAAAGGGGGACTGTGACCTTCAGTGTTCCACAGGGATCAGTATTGGGTCCACTTTCCTTGTCATTTATATAAATGATTTGGCTGAGAATATAGGAGGCATGGTTAGTAAGTTTGTGGATGACACCAAAATTGGTGGCATAGTAGACAGTGAAGAAGGTTATGTAAGATTGCCAAGAGATCTTTTTCAATTGAATCAGTGGGTTGAACAGTGGCTGATGGGGTTTAATTTGGATAAATATGAGGTATTGCATTTTGGTAATGCAAACAAGGACAGGACTTAGAATTAATGGTAGGGTCCTGGGTAGTGTAGAACAGAGAGACTTAGGGTTCAGGTACATAATGCTTTAACATTAGTGCTTTAACACCGAAGGTCACAGTCCCCCTTTCTGAAAATCAACCCTCCACCGCCACCCTCTGTCTCTTACCATAAAGCCAATTTAGTATCCAATTGGCAAGTTCATCCTGAATCCCATATATTTAACTAATTTGTCTACCATGTGGAACCTTGTGAAAGGCTTTACTAAAGCCAGAGTAAACAACATCTATCGCTCAGCCCTCTTTAAGCTCAAGTTACTTTATTTAAAAAAAAGAACTCAATCAAGTTTGTGAGACACAATTTTCTTCGCATAAAACCATGACAACTATCCCAATCAATCCTCGCCTTCCAGGACATGGAGGATAGTGGGGTTAGTGTGCAGAATACTAATATAGGTAGACAGGGTGGTTAAGAGGGCATTTAGCACATTTGCCTTCATTGCTCGGACCATTGAGTATGGGAGTTGGGACATAATCTTGAGGTTGTACAAGACGTTAGTGAGGCCTCTTTTGGAGTACTGTGTCCAGTTCTGGAGCCGTGTTACAGGAAGGATATTATTAAACTGGAGAGGGTTCAGACTCGATTTACCAGTATGTCGATGGGAATGAAGGGTTTGAGATATAAAAATAGACTGGAAAAACTGGGATTTCTTTCACTGGAGCACGGGAGGTTGAGGGGTGACCTTATTGAGGCTTATAAAATCATGAGTATATAGGTAAGTTGAATGACAAAGGTCTTTTTCCTGGGTGGGTGGGTTCAAAACTAGGGGACATATTTTTACAGTGAGAGGAGAAAGACTTAAAAAGGACATGAGAAGCAACTTTATTTACACAGTAGTTCGTTTGTGGAATGAACTGCCAGAGAATGAGATGACAGGTAGAGTTACAACATTCAAAAGACATTTAGATAAGTTCACGAGTCAGAAAGGTTTGAAGAAGATATGGGCCAAACGCAAGCAGATGGGAAAAGTTTAGATTGGGAATATGGTCAGCCTGGACCAGTTGGACCAAAGGGTCTGTTTCTATGCTTTATGACTCTAATAAAGCCAAGAATGTGATGGTTTTTAAGAGTCCTCAACTCAGTCTGCCACTTCTAATGATTTGTGTAAGTACACATTCAAATCTCAGTTTTTGCATGCCTTTTAAAATTGTGTCATTTAATTTGATCTAACATACAACTGTTCATCACTATTCTTTACTTTCCATCGCTTCAGCAATTATGGCATCACACTTCATATTTCAGTGAGTCTGTTATATGACTCTTCTTAGCCCTACTTCGTCTCCAATCAGTTGAAAACTCTAACTGCCAAAATGTGCGACATTTTCTGCTTCCATTCTCTCCGTAGCAGAATTACTTGCTTCACTGGTGTCTCTTAATTTAAACATAATTATTTTGTGTTCATGAGATCTGGGTCTTGCTGGCTAGGCCAGTGTCCATTGCCTATCCCTAATTGTCCAGGAGAAGATGATGGGCTGCTTTGTTGAACCACTGCATCCTTGGATGTGAAGGCACACACATGCTTTAAGGAACAAGTTCCAGATTTTGACCCAACAACAGTAAAGGAGCAGCGAAAAATTTCCAAGTCAGGATGGTGGAAAACTTCCAAGTGGTGACATTCCCATGTATCTGTTACCCTTGTCTTTCAATGTGATCGGGTTCATGGGTTTAAACAGTGTCAGGATTGTTATTCAGTTACTGCTGTATATCTTGTGAATGGTGCACACTATTGCCACTATGCATTGATGGTGATGATAGTGAATGGGGTACCGATCAAGTTTTGCCCTGGATTTTAATGCTCCTTGTATGTTGTTACAGCTGCACACTTCGAGACAAGTGGAGACTATTCCATCACACTCCTGACTTGTGCCTTGTAGATTGTGAGACAGACACTCGAGAGAGGAGAGACAACATTCCCTCTAAGCTTCAGTGCATGAATTGGCATGTTTACACTATTCCCAGTTTTGTTCCCAGTTATAAAATCGTAGAATTGTGTAGTACAGAAAAGGACCTTCAGCACATCAAGTCTCTACCACCAAAAAGCATACTACTATCTATACTGGCTCCACTTGTCTTTAGCCTTGAATGTTGTGAGACTTCAAGCACTCGTCCAAATACTTTCTAAAGGTGGTGAGGTTTCCTGCCTCAACTACCCTCCCAGGTGGTACATTACAGAACCCACCACCCTCTGGGTGAGAGTGTTTTCCCTGAAATCACCCCTAAACCTCCTAGTTATCAAAGTTATGCCCCTTAGTTCTTGACCTTTTGACTAATGTGAGCAGCTGCTTTCTTTTCTTAGTGAATCTTTACAGCAGAGGGCTGTTGAGACTGGCTCGTTGTGTATATTCAGGATGAGATTAGATATTTTTAATCAGTGAGGGAATTGAGGTTTAACAGGAAAAAGCAAGAAAATTATGTTGGGCATTATCAGATCAGCCATGATCTCATTGAATTATAGAGCAGATTTGATGCGCTGAATGACTTCCATCTGTTCCCATGTGTTATGGTTTTATAGACTTTGCCTGGCACTACTGAGATGTGCCACGATTCAGCCCAAGTTTGGGTGTTGTCCAGGTCGTACTACATATGGCCATGGATTACTTAAATACCTAAAGAGTCATAAATAGCACTGAAAATTGTGCAAACATCAGTAAACATCCTGACTTCTGACGTTACACTGAAGGGAAGGTGATTGATGACACAGTTGGAGATAATTGGGCTTCTTTTTTGTTAGGTATGACCGCAGCCAGCAAGTGATGGCAGGAAATTAACTGGTTCCAGGACCCGCTGAGGTAAAGTTATCTGGCTTCCTGACCCAATAAATCCCACCCCTGATTTCAGTTACAGATTGGCATATGCTCAATATTGACGACCTGAGAGTTTGTAACTTATCTGGCTATTGCTGTTTCGTATTATTTTAGGGCGGTGCATTGTTAAGAGAACGCCTTTGCAGAATTAGTCCGGCAGATAAGTTGGTTGCACAATGGTGGTGTAACACCTCAGCCAACAGACTGCACTAGAATATTTCATTAACTGCTTAAGTACTTAAGCACTTGTTATCAATGCCTTTCTTTTCCATCAATCAGTATACAGTCATTGTGGTTTTTGAATGACATTTACCAGTTTCTGCAATCAAGTAATGTATTTGTGACCTCTTTGCATTGGGTCTGCTGGTGAAACCACTTAACTTTTATATGTCCTTGGAAGTTCTGGGTCTTGAACCACAAAGGCTTAGAAGACAGTCAGGAATGAATGTCTCAATAACAAGAAATTACATTTTTTCCAGGGTATAATTATCTGAAAAGATGTGTAAATTAGATTGTGCAAACTTAAAAAGAAAACAACATCAGAAACTGTCTGATAAATACATAGAATGATGTGTCTATGCTAGTATTTTCCAGGAACACACAGCTTGTAGTTCTTTACGTATTCAACTCCTGGCAGCAACAGTCTTCATGTTGCCATAATATACTTGACTACGTATCCTATATATCCGGCGTCGACTAATTTCATTGTACAATCATCGTTTCTTTGTCCTGGGTATTTAAATTAAACCAAGCAAATTTCATAGAGCTACTCTGTTAGTTGTGGACTTGGAGTTGAACCTGAACACTTTTAGGGGAATTGGAGTTTTGAAGAAGATTGATTTATTGCTGTCATGTACTGAGATACAGTAAAAAGTTTTTTTATTCATTCATGGGGATGACAGCATTGCTAGCCAGGCAGTGTTTATTACCCATCCCTAATTGCCCAGAGGGCAGTTAAGAGTCAACTACATTTCTGTGGGCCTGGAGTCACATATAGACCAGACCAGGTAAGGATGGCAATTTCCTTCCCTAAAGGACATTAGTAAACCAGATGGGTTTTTCCCGACAATCAACAATGGATTTATGGTATGCATTACACTCTTAATTCCAGATAATTTTTGAATTCACATTCCACCATCTGCCGTGGTGGGATTCGAACTGGGTTCTCAGAACATTATCTGGGGCTCTGGATTAACAGTTCAGCAATAATACCACAAGGCCATTGCCTCGCAAAAAGTGTTGTTTTGCACCATATACAGGAAGATCGCACTACCCAAAGTGCATCAGGGCAGCAGAACAGAGTGCAGAATATAATGTTACAGCCACTGAGGAGGAGCAGAGAGTGATTACAATTAACATTTGAGAGGTCCGTTTACAAGTCTGATAACAGCGGCGAAGAAGTTTTTGTGAATCTAGTCGTACGTGTATTCAAACTTCTATATCCTCTGCCTGATGGAAGAGGGTGGAAAAGAGTATAACTAAGCTGGGAAAGGTCTTTGATTATGTTGGTTTCTTTTCTGAGGCAGTGGGAAAGATAGAAGACTGGTTTTCGTAATGGACTGGGTGCGTTCATGACTCTCTGTAGTTTCTAGCAGTCTTGGGAAGAGTTGCCAAACTGCGCTGTGATGCAATCAAATAAGTTGCTTTCTGTGGTGCATTTATAAAAATTGGTGAGAGTCCTTGTGGACAAGCTGAATATCCTTAGCCTTTTGAGGAAGTAGAGATGTTGTTGTGCTTTCTTAGCTGTCACATCGACGTGGGTGGACCAGGACAGTTTGTTGGTGATCAGCACTCCCAGAAACTTGAAGCTTTCGACCATCTCCACCTCAGCACGGTAATTGCAGACAGGGGCATGCCCCCCATTCCGCTTCTTGAAGTCAGTGACCAGCTTTTTTTTTCTGACATTGGAGAGATTTTGTGTTTACACCAGGCTGCTAAGCATTCAGTCTCTTTCCTGTATTCTGTCTCATCGTTGTCTGAGATCTGACCAAACTTGCAGATGGAGTTGGGGTGACATTTGGCCGAGCAGTCATGAGTGTATAAGGAGTATAGTAGGGGGTTGAGTAAGCAGCCTTGCTGGGCACCGGAGTTAAGGATTATGTTGTCACCTATTCTTACTGATTGCAGTCTATGGGTCAGAAAGCCAAGGATCCAGTTAAACAAGGAGGGGCTAAGACCTAGGTCTCAGAGTTTAGAGATGAGTTTGTTTGGAATTATGATGTTGAAGATGGAACTGTAGGCAATAAGTAGGAACTTGATGTTGGTATCCTTGTTCTCCACATTTTCAGGAATGAGTGTAGGGTTGGAGAGACGGTGTCTACTGTGGACCTGTTGCACCAGTAGGCAAATTGCAAAGGATCGAGTCAGTTTGGTAGACTGCAGTTGATGTGGGCCATGACTAACTTCTCAAAGCACTTCATAATTATGGAGGTCAGAGCCACCGGATGGTAGTCATTGAGGCAAGCGGCGTGATTTTTCTTTGGCACCGAAATGATGGTGGTCTTCTTGAAACCAGTGGGACCTCAGATCATAGTGAGGAGAAGTTAAAGATATCTGCGAATACTCGCACCAGCTGGTCCGCACAGGAGCTGAGCGCACAGCTGTGGACTCCACCCGGGCCAGTTACTTTCCAGGGGTTCACTCAAGAAGGCCAAACTAACACAGGATGTGGCCAAAGTGGTCTGGGAGCAGCAACTTACAAGAGCAGTACAGTGGCTCAGTGGTTAGCACTGCTGCCTCACTGTGCCAGGGACCTGGGTTTGATTTCACCCTCTGGCAACTGTCTGTGTGGAGTTTACATGTTCTCCCCATGTTTGTGTGGGTTTCCGCCAGATGCTCCGGTTTCCTCCCACAGTCCAAAAATGTGCAGGTTAGGTGGATTGGCCATGCTAAAATTGCCACAGTGTCCAGGGGTGTGTAGATTGGATGCATTAGCCATGGCAAATGCAGGGTTGCAGGGACTGGGTGGGGTGCTGTTCAGAAGGTCAGTGTGGACTTGTTGGGCCAAATGGCCTATTTCCACATTTGAGGGATTCTATGAACTGAACTGAAAATCCCCACCAGAGCAGTGCAAGTCATTCAAAAAAGTAACATTGATTGTGCAGGGCCAGATGTTCCCATAAAGGTAAAAGGTGGGACCTAAAATTCCAGATAACCCTGAGTGTTGATTGATGTACACAATTGAATAAGGGAGAAAACAAAGAAGCTTATGGCAGATACTGAGGATTCAAAGCAGTGAATGCCCATGGTGTTACATACCAAGAAAATTTAGGAGAGCAAAGAGGGAGCATGGAAAAGCACTAGTGGGTAACATTAGGGAAAATCCAAAGGCGTTTTCTAAGTTTCTTAGTGGCAAGAGATAACTAGAATAAGAGTAGGGCCTGTTGGGGACCAAAGTGATAATGTGTGTGTGGAGCTGAAGGTTTTAAACGAATACTTTGCACCTGTATTCACTGCAGAGAGGGACAATCATCAGGGAGGTCCAACTGTAATATTCTTGAACAAATTAGCATCGCAAGAGAGTGAGGTATTAATGGATTCTGGTGTCCAAAAAAAGAAAAATCTGTTTCTTTTATGGGATAATAGAAATGTTAAATTCTTTATTCTTGTGTAGACTGGATTTTCTGTTACCCCACTGTTTATTAAATATATGTAAAATACATCAAATGACCAGTCCGTTACCTTTCCACCCATCTCTGTAATACACAAGGTGGGCAAGTACCATAATTGGCAGCCCACCTGCTATATTTAAAGAACTACCTGTGGGTTAGTCGAACTCCTTACTTAACTAGTTGACCTTGATAATAGGTTACTCATGCCATAATGTATTTGATGTGAGCAGATGGGTGGAATTGAGCAACTGGCTTTTATAAAATAATTTTTAATAGGACAGAAGGGATGGGAAGATGCTGTCCTCAAAGAGTGTGTCCCAAATTTCCAACTTGCCACTTGCCTTTCTGGAATGATTTTGTGATCTGTGACTGTCAAGTGGAGCTTTAACATTGAGGATAGTATTCATCATACTGACAAAAGCTTCAACATAGTTGACAGCACATACCTGCATACTAGTTCAAAAGTAGACTTTTTCCCTTTTGCATAGAACACTCTTTCAGATTTTGCTGAGGAATTTTGGCACTCTGACTTTATGTTCGCCAACAACAAATCAGTATTCTTGTGAAGCTTTCGAATACGTGGGTAGCTGATCATTAGCACAAGTTCAACCAGTGTTTGTAAAATCAAAATGGTGAAAAACTATTTATGGGACTAATTAACCTTATACTGAAAACAAATGGACAATTCAGCTCTATCTAATTCTAAAGAGGTTTAAACTTATTATTCACATTTAATTTTTCATTCATTTATTTTGGCTTGGTGTACAGCTTCTAGAACAATCAAAGCCTGTACTCTGACAGCAAGAGGATCTACTTTTAGAACGAGTGCCCCACTTTCAGCTGTATAGCCTGACATGATGATGTCCACAATGATTTGTCATCTACTTTCTCATTTTTATTCAGAATAATGCTTCTTTGATTTTTCATTTGATTTGTCTAGAGTGATTAGTATGGTCGATCTCCAAGTCCACTAGCTCCTTTCCAATGTTGTCTGCAGTTCTTCATTTTCCATCACAGAAGGCTGTCAAGTAGATTTCTGCCAATCCGGTTGTGTAATCTACCACGTGAGGCTCAGAGTGGTGAAGAGGTGATTGTCAGTGTCTGTCTTTGTGGGAACTTCCTGTATCAGGAAATATAAACTGGAATCTCAGCATTTCACAGCTAATTATGCGCAGTGCAACCAAGTGCTGCCTGACTCTATTGATTATTTGGTGCATAAGATCTCCTCTTACACAATAGAACCTGCCAAATTGTTAATTATTTAAGCTTTTAGTTCACTGTGTGCTTTTGAAAGAACTTTTTCAATGGATTATTTTTGGAGGAGTATTGACACACTGAGTCAGACAGTGTGAAATAATTACCCATTTACTCCTCTTTGAAATCTTAGTGTCTTCTGTATTTCTACTGAAACTTAAAATTTATTTCACTCTCAACAATTATTTTGTACAGATGTTCCTGTTGCGTGAGGGGGAAAATTACCAGACCACTCTCTTGTTGTGCACCATGGTGTTCTTTTCTGATTCCTAACTAAATTCCTGTAACAAAAACAGAAGTTGCTAGAAAAGCTCAACAGGTGTGGCAGCAACTGTTAAGAGAAATCAAGAGTTAATGTTTCAGGTCAAATGGACGATTCATGGTCATCATTAGATTCTTAATTCCAGATGTTAATTGAATTCAAATTCCACAGTCCAGTGGCTATGCCACTAGGCTATTGCCTGCCCTCATAATCTTATATTCCTCAATCATGTCCCCCCTCGGTCTTCTCTGCTCTAGAGAAAACAATCCAAACCTGTTTATGCTGTCATTATAGCTCAGTTTCTCCATCCCAGGATTCATCCTCTCGAACCTCCTGTGTACCCTGTCTAGTGCAGTCACATCCTTGCTGTAGTGAGGTGACCAGAACTGCACACAATACTCGAGTTTTAGCCTAACCAACATTGTACAACTTCAACATTGTCTCTTTGCTGTTATACTCAATGCCATGACTGATGAATGTGTCAGCATTTACTTCAAGAGGGCTATTATACAAGAACAGAAGTGTACTGCTGAGGCTGTATAAGGCTCTAGTCAGACCACATTTGGAATATTGTGAGCATCTAAGGAAGAATGTGCTGACTTTGGAGGCCAATTAGAGGAAGTTTACAAGAATGATCCTTGGGATGAAGGGCTGGTCATATGAGGAGTGACTAAGGACTCTGGGTTTGTACTGAATGGAGTTTAGAAGGATGTGGAGATGGACCTGATTGAAACTCTCAAAATACTGACAGGCCTGGATAAAGTGGACATGGATAAAATGTTTCCACAAGTCGGAGAGACTAGGACCTGAGGGCACAGCCTCAGAGTAAAGGGAGGACCCTTTAGAACGGAGATGAGAAATTTCTTCAGTCAGAGGGTGGTGAATCCATAAAACTCATTGTCGCAGAAAGTTTTGGAGGCCAAGACGTTGAGTATATTTTAGTAAGGGGATCAAGGGATACAAGGAGAAGGCAGGAGAATGGAGTTGAGAAACCTGTCAACCGTGATTGAATGGTGGATTGGAATCAATGGGCTGAATGGTCTAATTCTGATCCTGTATCATATGACGTTAGAACTGGTGAAGCTTGAAGATCATCATTTGCTATTGCTGAAATGAGGCTAGTGTCTGCATCCTAGATCAGAAGGAAAACAGGGGATAGGGTAGAAAGTGGGACCGGAGGAAGCAAGACAACTGTTACACAGTCGATCAATCTTTATCAAGGAAGATACAAATACTGCAACTTATTTACCCTGGAACATAAGTGTTTTTGCCTTCTACAGTAAATTCAAACTAATATGGAGAAACATTATGTTCACGTATGCTGTTTAAAAAGTTCATGGAAATGGATATAATATATTGTGTGAAAGCATATGAGTAATTTAAGAAATTTGCAGTAACTGCAGCATGCTTAGAGAAACTGGTGACTTTGGGCCTGCTTTCCAAAGCTTTTCTGCCATTGCGATTAGCACTGCTAAAATCTGACTGACAGAGATTGACTGTCATTAGTTAACAAATCCACAATCATTTTATGCAGGAAGGTAGATAGTAAAGGAAGAAGCCATGTAATTTCTACATTTCTGAGCTATTGGCAAGTTTTCAACTTGAGTATAATAAGTAAATTAATACCTACAAGGTACCTAGTACAGCAAGGAACTTCAAACAATTGGATTACCTTTTGAAGCGTAATTATTGGTTATGTATGCACAA